AGGCACGCGCACGTGCGTGCATAACTGCGTAAAGAGCGCGCTGCCCCAGGAAGCGGGTTTTGTAACGCCGAGAGACAGGTGTTCTTGACGTTGCGTCACGCCGCGGCAATTTGTCTCGCGTGTACGCATTATACAGGGTGTCCCCCGAGAAGCCGTGTAAAAGTACGAGAGTTTATTTTTTTTCTATCTCCCTTGAAAGAGTGTTTAATCTGACACTTCTATTTGTTACCCTTGACTTGTGTCCGATAAATGATTCTCTTCCCGACGAGGCTCTTCGGGTTCGTCGTTTGGATTTAAGATGCATATAACCTCCTAATGTTAAATATTACATTTCTATTCATCAAAGTTAACCCTTCAAGGCCAGATATGGGTCTCCGAGATCCATCCATCAAAACCAGTGTCTCTCCTGAGTATTAATTTAGCGCGTGTTGTGTTTTTCCTCTCCTCCCTGTCACACGTGACTAAAGTAAAGTCATCCTTTCGATTAAAAAAAAAAAGAAATTGAAAAAATATTGCTTTTTGCGAAAATCAAACTCAAAGTCGCGTGAATCTCACAGACCCACAGGTCTGGACAACTCATAGGTCATTTTTTATGTCTGGCACCGAAGGGTTAATAAAATTCTTGTTGGATTATAATTTGAAGATAGACAAACAAAATGTGTGTTTTTTTTCTTTAATTAGAAAACTCTTGCGCTGAAACATTCTGTAACGCGCGCGCACACATTCCGATTTCTGCTCTCGTAATATCGAGATGCCGATGGAAAAGTGGCATTCCGCGTGCCCCGCGGGGCTTCGCGCTTCGATGCCGTGTCTTGCGTACACCTTGCTGTTGCCGCAATCGTAATAAAAATTGACTCGGCAACGATTACCAGCGGGATTGGTGTATTATTATTGAGCGTGAGAGTTGCGCCGATAGAGCTACACCACACCGGCGGAGATGCCTTACGATGTTTCTAATACTAAATATCTTCCAGCATCTCTCGATGTAACAATAAGCATCGTTACAAAAGTCGACGTAATGCGAACATTTTTTTGTTTTTGTTTTTACCATAAAATCGAAATTTGCAATTTGCAATTTCAGTCGGTTCAATATAAAAAGCGGGGTTTTTCCTCCGGCTAAAAAAACTTACACTCGAAACACTCGAGTATCATTCACGCGCGTAGCGCGTTTCTTCTTTGGAGAGACTGGAAATTCTTTCCGGATGCTCCTCGTCCGCACACACTCGTCGCAGAAGAACCTCGTCGCTATTCCGCCATTCTCTCCACGTGCATTCCACGTGTGTTAAAGCACGTTTGCTCTCGGAAGAATAGCGCGCTCTTCAGCGCGCTGGAATTTTGCTCTGCGAAATTTACCGTTGCACATATATGCGCCGCGGAGGAACGCGCCGCCGGGGTAATCCTCCGCGCGCGAGGAAGTTCTGGAAGGATTTGCGCGATATTGCGGACACGTGAGGTGCGCAACGTAAATCGCGTTTGAAGAAATAGCGCGAGAGCAGAGAGGTGGTCGTCGTCCTTGTCGTCGTCTTGGATGCTAACGGTACGTACACATTTTAGATGCGTGTCTGTATAAATCCAAAGGAATATATAAAAAAAAAAAATAAAAAAAAAAAAGGTACGGTCGCACATTTGTAGAATCGAATATACGCACCGCGACGACGAATATTCAAATCGTCTGATGAAGCGTGCACGTTCACGGACGTCGCGCGCATAAAAGCGAATCGAAAAGGACGGGACGGCCAGTCCTCGTATCGTCAGTCCTCTTCCTCGTTATTCAACGCATACGGTCTTTCTCTCCTTCCTTCGCTATAACTGATTAAATTGATTGATCGCCGCCAGAGAGAGAAACGATTATATACACTCGGGCCAGACAAATTCACAAGACTGGAGCACAATAGCCCGTGACGAATTAATATTTCGTTTACTCTTGTGAGAGACAGGCAGAAATCGAGGATCTGTGTTACATTCCGAATGCGAATGGGGAGAGATCCCGAGCGCATTATGAGATAAATGATTTCTGCGATAAATATAATCGATCAGTCAGGTTTTAGCAGACTGAATGGAATCACGTAGAAATATTTCTGTGACGCACACCGTTCTCTTTTGATTCGCGCGAATAAATATTTTCTCTCTTCTTACGTGCAGAAAGGCTTGTCACACAATTTAAATCTTTATTAAGATTAAATATCTAAAGTTATATTTATCATACACGTTACGCGGACAAAAATCAGATAACACGTCGCGTAATTTTATTTTTTGACATTTATTTTACTTTTATTTTAGAATATTTTAGAATAGTAATAATTAGAATCGAATTGGGAGACATTCGCTAATTAACGTGTTATTGTCGCTAATCTCGCTATCGAGTATTGGAGGAGGATATACGCGCGTATCCAATGTTTCGGTGATCAACGAAAATTTATCCTTGCTTCCGGCGCGATCACGCCTCGCCGAAATCCCGCCCTCCGTAACGAATGAATCGTTCTCCCTATCTGTCTCGGTTTCCTTGCATCTTCGGCGCGCTTGCCGATATCTCTTGTAACGCGGCGTTTTTGTGCGGCTCTTTAATATGCGAAAAGGGAATCCCGGCTCGTCGCGTCTGGCATTAATAACGAATTTCTGCGCCTTTGTCGAGGCTGTGTATCTTTTCTTTTTTTTCTCCGATACCACCCTCGAAGAATTCTCCCAATCCGCGAGAAAATTTTCACAAAGTTCATCCGAACAATTTTGATGTAATTTGCGGTGCTATTGTTTTGAAATATATTGATTTTGGACGACTTGAAGATAGAAATTCGAAATTCGAACCAATTTTTTTGTTTCACGGCATCGTGACATTTTGCTGAAATCACGTTGTATCAGCGATCGTTTAACGAGAAAACCATGTTCGGGCCTGTGTTTCCTAGGCGCATAATCGCGACGCGCGGTGAAAGTGTGTGAAAAGGGGGCTCGGAAATCGTGCCGGTAAGAGAATGACGCGTAAAAGTGTATACGCACGCGTCACGTGTGGCGCGATTGTTGAGACAATGCCGATGAGAAAGGGAACGAAGAAAAACGAGAGAGAGAGAGAGAGAGAGAGAGAGATGCGAAAGGCTAGAAAGAATCGTGGTAAATCCTCTTGTTCGCGGATACACGGCGGCACACGTCTACTTAGAATGTGACGACTATCTCCTCGCATCGAGGTATGAAAATTGCACGCGAAAGAGAAAACGCGGCGACGATGATGAACGCCGTTATGGCATTTATCTCGCGTCTAAAGCAACTTCACATTGTGACGTGTGTATAGGAAAGGGAAGACATTAGACCGAGATTTGAGAAAATCTCAGTTTTAGACTCACTGTAGTGCAGCGCGCATCTCCGTTAAAATAATTATTTAAAAAACCACTCCGAGGATTATTCCGTTGCTCGGCGCAACGAGAGATATAAAATAATATGACGATATGGATGCTGCGCGTCTCGAGAGACATTCTCTCGTGATTTCACAAAACAATGTTCCGACTCGCGACACGTTAATTATTCGAAATTTCGCCAACGCGGCAATATTTTAATAAATTACACGTACGAATTAATTCAGAGCGTGCGCAAGAGTTGTTCAACGCCTACTTGCGCATACACATCTCGTTGAGCGCGCATTTGTCCAATATACCTCCACGCTAAACATTATGATAATTAAAAAGAAATCGACGTTCGTCACATCGAACGTCACCGTGTCATCGAGTCCGGGATAAGTAATCGAGTGTCGCCGACGAATTGTGTCAGATCTAATGCCGTGTGTCAGGATTTATGAAGACTCGTTACTGGCGAAGACCAGAATTCGAACTACACTACAATGCCCGTTACGGTAGTAGTAGGTAGTGTCAGTCTCGTGAAACTAATGGTTCACGTAACAATGGCTTATTGTTAGATTCGGGTCGACGTATGTGTACACACGGAAACCTATCTATTTTCTATCTTCGATATATTATGATTGATACTGTGACGAGATCAATAGATGTGGAGATGATTATTTAAGAGTATGACAAGCACAATCTTTCTCTTGTATTTATTACGCGTCATTAAAAAAGACTAATTTTGACATATTTGTGTCAGATTAATTGACGCGTGTTATAAAAATGTATTTTATAAATATCTGTTGTGTTATACGTTATTATATTATATTGTAGTTTTATAATCTCAGCTCTCTTTATCCATCGTTAAATGCCGATTATTTCTATAATTTTAGCAAAGTGTTATACGATGACGTGAAATAAAACTCGAAACGAGAATTTCCGTCTCCGAACATTCCAAACTTAATATTTAAAGACAATATATCATAATGTATATTTTTTATTTATTGTTATAGATGTTTATGCGTAATTTCTAGCAAAACTACATGTACATACACATGTAAAAAAAAAAAACGCAATAGTACGCGCAGGTTGAAATACTTAAAACGTGTTGCAATATAAATCAATACCTAAGAGAGGTATTTAAACGCGTTGCTTTACATAACGCACCTCCGACACACACGAACGATAATTATCGCGCTCGGTGTAGCGAGGAGAAACACGAATCGAACGTTTCCACACAGCTGCGATCAACCGCTCGATATTTCCTCTTTTATTTCCGTGATTCGTGGCGATCATTAGGAGGAAATATCGCGTGTGTTTTCAAGAGTCGTCGATATCGCGACGGAGGGAAGTGGGGAACGGAGGCGAAATCGCATGTCTCTTTCGCATGTCGCTTCCTTTTCCTGCTTTCGTAATGGCGCGTGGAAATGACCGCGCATCAAGTCGCGATTTATCGAAAATTATCGGCGTTACGCAAAGGCCGTCGATGCAATCGCGGAAAGACGGTTTCGTTCCTCCGTATAGCCTGTTACGTCTGAGAAGAAGATTTCTCGTGCTCAGCAAGCGATAATCGAGAGACCGATACCCCTAACGTAACGTCCGTCCGCGGACGCTTTTTTATGTTTTTCTCCGTACATGACGACCAAGCATTGCAAAATGTCTAATTTATTTGTGCAGGTGCAGAGGCTCGCCGACTACGAGAGGTACTTGGGTCAGGAAGCGAGGAATTTAATCGATAACGAGTGCATCGATAGCGGAACGGTTCTTCATCGCGGACAGTTGGAGGGCGATCTCCATCGCATTCAAGAATTGTTTCCCAATGACAATTTGCGTTTGCACGAACGAGATGTTGTCACCACGGTACGATGATTGTTTCCTTAAAGCAAAAAATATAAAAATCAAATCCTCTCGCGCTATCTACACACGCCGTGGATCAGCTGTGATCTACTTTACTTTTTTATTACATCGTACAGATAATTTTCTGCGTATAGTTTTTTTTTTGCACAAATAAATGCGCGTAATTTCACACATAAATTGTAAAACCGTTGCTGTAACGTGCAGGGACATTCCGGTGGAAAATGTACACGAGCACAGCGTTTGTTACACATATATTATATGTATATATATATGTATATATATATATATATATATGCATATATAACAAACGGTATTACGCACAATATGCGTCGCGCGCGACTCAACCTTTCTCACGGTCGTTTAGATGCATCTCGTTTTTCTGGCGTCCGTGGAAAGTGCATCGACTCGCGTGTCGCTAACATGGTAGTTAGAGAGGAATATGCGTATGTACGCACTTCCTTCCCACGTTTGTATCATACGGATATTCAACAAGCGTGTTGATAATTTCTTCCCGCTATTTTCACTCGACTCGCCCGCTCGCCGACTGTGAACGGTGAAATTGACGCGTTCAATTGACTGCTCGCTTTCTGCGTCTGGATGAAAAAAAAAGAAAAATAGAAGCAGAATAGAAATTGTGTCACCGAAAGAGACCGGCAACGGATCGAATTAACAATAGAAGAACGATATTTATATTATTTTGCGTAAAAGTGCGTGACGAACTCTCTTTCTGTTTTTTTTCTTTTTTTTTATGTAAAGCGAAACACACAGCGAAAGTTAAAACATAATTCTTATTAGAAAGAATTTTTTTTTTAATATTTTATCTTTCGCTATAATTTTATACTCCGCTTAATAATAAATAAAATATTACGTGAATTTTTATATTATACATCACATGTGTAATTAAAACATATAATTAATTATATGAAAAAATGCAAATAAATGTAACTGTTGGCCTGTGTCTAACGGTGTCGTTTGAAGTTTTCCGTAAAGGAAGCGACGACTAACTTTCCAATACAATAAATAACATGTTCTAATACCATAAGCCGTAGTGAATGATTTATTTGGAACCCGTTGGATGTGTCGAGACGCGATCTTTAGGCCGGATACTTCATGTGTTATGACAAAACGCGATACACGGAGGTGCGGATGATGGCGATATGGCCAGAGAGAAGTGATTTCGTAATGAGAAAGATTTAGAGAAAAGAACGAGGAACGTTGTTGGGACACACAAGTTAAGGAAATCTAATAAGCATATGTTAATTAGTCCGCTTTTTTATTCGCCGTGGGAGCACTTGTTGATTTCGTCTGTGACGCTTCAAAGAGCTCACCGCTTACCGACCAAATTTGGTAGTGACAGTTTTTTTTTTTTTTTTCTGAGCGCAACTGTTAATTCTCTCGGTTTGTGACACACACGATATATCTGGTCGATAAGTTTTAGACGGAGCTCGCGCGCGTTTTGAGACTTCGCTTTTTATTTTATTCTTTTCTCACGCACACATTTTTCACCTCACACGAAATTCTCTCTTGAAAAAGATTTCGGATTAATTAACGTCGTAAGAGAGTTCGTTTTTTGATTGTTTGTAAGAGTTTGACTTCACTTGTTTCCAGAAGATGAAAAATATATTACGTAAGAGAAACAGTGGTACTCCAGCCAGACTGTCAAGAGGACTTTCTCAGAAGACTTTGGATGTTTCGATTAATAATTCCCCGTCGCCGAAATCGCCGAGAACTTTTCTCCTGGAAACACCAGTACAGTTTACTACGGTAAAAAAATATTTTCTCTTTGTACGTGTAAGAAAGAAATTTCAGAAAAATATTCAAATGCAACGCGCACAATTTTATACATATATATATATTTTTTTTAACGAGATATTATTATTAAGTATAAATCAAAACTTTAGTTTGTGTAAATAAAGATGTAACGTGGCGAGACAACGTGGTCTTGTCTGAAGTTCGTACATGGCAAAACTGGGTGTAAATTTCAGGGCATGCAATCGCAGGAGAGACACCTCTTTCTCTTTACCGATCTCCTGCTGATCGCGAAAGCTCGAAGCAGTGGGAATTTCAAACTGAAGCAGACCGTGAGGATGAGCGAGCTTTGGCTTACGGCCGGTCACATAGAGGATGTAGCGGAGACTAGCAAATCCGCGGAAACCAGCTTCGTTCTCGGCTGGCCAACCACAAATGTCGTAGCCACTTTCATGTGAGCAAATTATTATTTTTTTTATATAATTTTATTTCAATTGTTTTATTTTATTTAATTTACTATCCACGTGGGTGAATGCATTCAAAATGTCAATAAATAAGAACTTAAGTAAATTCACGTTTGTTTTTTTTTTTTTTCAGGACCGCCGCGGCGCGAGATCTCTGGTGGGGACGTTTAAACGATCTCGTGCGAGAGGAGAGTATGAAGGAGCCTCCGCACACGAACATTCAAATCGTGTATCACGACAGCGACACCAACAGCGACTACGTAAGTGCGCCTTGCCTTTTCACAGATACAGACTCGCGATCGCGTCTCTTCTCGCGCGACCTATTCTTCGCGCATCCTCGAATCCGCGGGATTTAATCGCGCGATCTTTCCGGTATTCTTCTCCGGCGGACGTCTTTTGTAAATGGAAAAAAGAAAAACGTCAGTGTCAAGTTGGGTTCACTATCGAGCCGCTTATTGTAACCAACGTTACTTTAGTCACCGTTCATAATTCATCGGTGTGTTGTGTGAATACGTACAAGCGCCGCGCGCTAGGCGATCGCAAATCCGTTAGATACACGCTGTCTATCGTCGGCAAACAAGCTTTCGTGCGAATTGCACGCCACGTTTGCTCGTCCCTTTGTAACACACTGCCGACTCTCGGAAAGAATCATACATACATATCATATGTATACGTGCTGTTTCGAATTTCGCAGTGCAAGACGATCATGGTCGGCTCGGAGATGACGGCGCAAACCTGCGTGAACGTTGCGATGCCGTTGTGGGATCTTCAAGGACCCTTTCAGTTGTGGGCTCGGACGTTCCCGGACGAGGCGCCGTATCCCTTGATAGGTCACGAACGACCGTTCGCCGTGAAGATGTCGAGATTGCGACACATGCTGTCGGCGGATGAAGGTTTTGATCTGGAACACATCAACAACAGCGGCGTCGATTTGTGCCACTTCGTTCTCAGACCGATAATGAAGACGCCCGCAAAAAAGAACAACCGGTCGAAGATAACCGGTCTGTTACGACGTTCGCTGTCACTGAATCCGAGTCTGTTCGGAGTAAATTTGTCGCGACTGGACGAGAACGGTCTGCCGAAGCCCGTTCTAGTGATGCTGCAACAGCTATTCGCAAAAGGTCCGTTCACGCAGGGCATTTTTCGCAAATCCGCGAACGTTCGAATCGTTCGGGAGCTGCGGGATCAAATTGAATCCACGGGAGATCCCAGCTGTTTAGAAGACGCGCCGATTATAGCGGTCGCAGCTTTGCTGAAGGATTTCTTGAGGTCTCTGCCAGACCCCCTCTTGACTTCTCATCTCTTTCCACTTTGGATGGACAGTCTGGACACTTCAAATCCTGTTCAAACTATTAAAAGGTATCTCGGTCGTTGTAACAAAATTTAAATTGTTTATAAAAATGTTTAGATAAAAGACACTGTTATTATTTTTATTATTACTGAAACTAATTGAAAACAATTTCAGCATTTTAGACAGACTCCCGAAAGCAAATTACACTTTACTATCGCACTTAATCTGCGTGTTGCATCACGTGGCAAGACGATCGAAACGTAATCTCATGTGCGCAAGCAATTTGGGCGTCTGCTGCGGTCCGAGTTTACTTTGGTCGTCGAATCCGTCAGTGAATCAGAGCAGAGCGATCCCGACGATTACGGAGATGTTAATTCGTCACTGCGAGGACTTGTTCGGCGCCGGCGTCACACAGCTTCTTGGAGAAGACACGCGCAGCGACAGCGGAGCCGAGGAGAGCACCGACAGTCTTCATTGTAAGTATCGTAACACACGTATCGCTATTTATAATATTTTATTTTTTTTTTTTCTAACAAATTTTACGCACCGCAGCAGGTGGAATATCCCTGGATAGTTTGGACTTGACGGAGGCGCCGCGTAGAGATCCCATGTCCTTATCAAGAGACTCGGGCTTGACCTTGTCAGACTGCCAATTATTCATCCCGGAATCGCCCGTAGGCTCAGAAGACTCAGCCCCGAACGCTCCGTCGTCAAGCAATTACGACAAGTCTCTCGCAAAGGAGGAAAAATCAAACAGCAAACCTTACATACCAGTTTATAGATGCGGATGGGAGGAGAGACTGAATGGTTACACGTCCACTACTAATCATTCGAGTAACACTGAGCACAATTTCAGAGAAGAGAAGACTAGCACGTGTTATACCAATCATTCTCAATCAAATTTTCAGCGGCAGGATTGGTTACGAGCGCAACTCAAAAGAACACCTAGAACGAACAAGCTCGATGAGCACGAGCACAGAAAGGAGAGGTTCAATGACAAAGACATGTATGACAGGGAATATCTTCGACAGGACGCGATGAAAGAGAATGTGGAAAATTGTAAAACTTATCGGAGCAGGCAGATGAACGTAACTTACGATATATTGTCGGAGGATTACGATAGCAAGAGTTCGCAGCAAGATATCCGAGGTACCGAGCGTGTGTTGATTCACGATTCGGAGCAGGATCTGACGAGCGGTAGCGACACGCCCCGATCCGGTAACGATCGTTACGAGTTTAAAAAGAAAGAGCGATTTAACGAATTTAAAAATAAGTCCTCCGAAGCTCAATACGTAAGTCTGGAGTCGCAGAAGGAGCTCCGTCGCCAAGTTCACGATCGTGACGACTTGTACGAGGACTTCGTGAGGGTGAAGGCAATATACATGGAAGCGTTGAAATATTGCAATAAAGAATCGAACGGCGAGTCCGATGGAAAAATTGGTTATTGCGAGGACAGAAGTCGATCGGGCGAGGTTTACGTGGCCGGAGATACGAACGATTCGTATAAGACCGTGGTGATCGACCTCAGCGAGGACGAACAAGAGGAAAGGACGACGTCTTGGCCGGATACACCGCCGCCGCTACCTCCAAGGCTAAGGCATCTACCGCCAGTGCATATGAGCCTTGAAGATAGGCACAAGGTAGCTAGTAGGTCCAGGTCTCTGCCGCCGCCACCTCCCTATCGACCACCGCCGCAACCTCGCGCACCTATTACTACGCGGCATCTAGGATTCGGCAGATCTGTCGTTGATGATGAGAGCTACGTCTGAGAACGATTCTCGGCGAATTGCCTCGGAGTTTCGCAGTCATCGCAATTGTTTCGTTATCGATTAACTTTGACACGTATACAAAAAAGTCGTGGGGTCCGCTCTACGACGACTGAACCTAGTCCAAACCGAAACACTTGCGCAGTTTCGTGAACAATAAGAGAGGTGATTGTATGAAGACGGCATTGCGATGTTTCTTCAAGAAGCGACGAGTACTTATCGTCTTTCTTCGATCAAACTTAGACAATAGCAAGACGAACAAAAAAACGAAAATGTCTTCGTAAGACAGCGAAGTGGAATTCGCAGTTTTTTTTTTTATTTGTGATCACCAACAGTAGAGTTTGGTCCGTGTTCTTGTCACACTCACTCTTTCAACGGTAAATGTGTTCATTTGATTTTCATATTTGACATGAATAATAATTTTGAATAAGCAGATACTACAAAACGCGTTTTAAATCGGCGCAACATTGTTCCCATGACAAGTTGGAAACGCGTTTATATCGCATTATTGTTAACAGTGAGATAACGTTGTTAAAAACAAATGTTCGCGTTCGGTCTAAAAACGCATCTTAAACGATGATCGTGTATCTACAGTTAAATACTTAACGCGTTCGCTATCGCTGTGTGAGAAGAAAATCATCGTTCATCACACATATCGTGCCTTTGAATCGTGCGTTTTAGAAATTTTACTGTACATATGATCTTTCACTTATACACACACATAAAATTGCACTGAATAGACAAACTGAGCTGTTATAAAATTCAGTTGTGTCACATATGTGTGATGTGTGTAATAGCGAACGTGTTAAGTACTACGTTGAGAATTCGGACCTGTGACTGTCATTCAGTGATTCAGGGTGCTTCCACGAACGTTTCTTTATATTATTTTAGTAGGTTTAGAGTTTAGGTAGTTAACTAAGCGTATAGACTACGACTGCTTTCCGACACTTACTGCCAGTACTAAAAATCTATAATACGTGATCACGCATGTGATCTGTTATAGGCCGCGTTCAGCTGAACCGAAGCGTTTTAGTAAGCGCTTTGTGATTTTTGCTTGTCATTGACATATAGGGCCGGGGTCTCACCATCTGTGAACTAACTTAATCGGCCGATTATTCCACTGGAATTGACCAACTGAACAAATTTGACACTTAACCGGTCGATTAGCTTAGTCTGTTGGAGATCAATCTATACTTTCGCGTATAATTTTGCAATAGATCTAGAAGAATCGAGTCCCAGTCACAGACACAGTAAGCACAAAGCGTTGAGTTCTGCTGAACGCGGCCAACGTGGATTTTCGCCGCTGACAGTAAATAACGGAACGCAGCCTATGTGTAAGTAATTGACAATACTAGCGCCAAGAAGATACTACAAGTGTAATTCTTTTCTTACGCGTAAATAAAAAAAAATATCGTTAAGGTTCTTTACACGTTTGTAGAAACAAAATATTAAAATAAGAAAACAAGTTTCTTTACACATATCTCAAGAAAGTTTTTGTAGAAATACTACTTATTACTGATGCTATACTTATTATTAACAGCGCATTAAAATAGCCCACAGCAACGCGCTCGCGATACGACGTACGTAACATTCTTTCAGTGTTTTAAAGCACTTTTAACCAACGTCAAATGTTTTATTCTTGTAAATCGTTGTTTTTTTTTTTTTTTTTAATAAATATATTCTGTTTGTGAGTGCACACTTTTCTAATCAATATTTTCGATGTGACAGCGTGTTTATATAATTTTTAAATTCTTGAGAAGCCAGAAGCAATTGTAGTGATGACATTCTGCATATGAGAAAGTATAGATATATGTATACACACACATATATATATATACAACAATATATATACACAAACTCTTTGCAGAGTCTGACTCTTTTAAGTTTACAAGAGAATGTTTTTCTCGACGTCTCATTAATTTTTTTTAGAACTCAGCTCGCGTTTATGTTGCTGCGTTTTAACAAAACATTGTTGATGGACTTGTACTCTACTTTGTTTTCTTCCTTGCGCTTACATCGAATGGAAACGACACAATAAATGACACATCGTTTCTGACAATCATAAGATAGGATTTGTATACATATAAAATGCTACTTTGTACGTGGATACACAAGTGCGATTACATCTTAATATAGTTTATACGAGAAAACATACAGCGGTGTTACACGGCCAATCTTCTTGTTTTTTTTGTATATAGTAACCTGTAAAAAAAAACAACTCGTCATCTCTTTTTTATCGTTAAACCTTATGGTATGATGCGTAACACCTATATGAGATATATGTATACTTATTTAAATTATATATGTTATGCTATGTATAAGAGCAAATATATATATTTCGTATTTTATACATCCATAGATCTTGGTTTTATATACGATATATCCTTCTTATTATAAATATATTTGTGATATTGATCTGCGTAATAATTATAATAATAATCACATAAACAATAGATGTCTGTTTTTATTTTATGCAAAACAATCTGATGGAATAATAAACTGATTCGAATCTTCGCTAAGGAGATTAATGTTTTGTAAATTAAATTCCTAACGTCTTATTATTTAACATAGAGGAATAAGAATTTATACACAAATAAACAATTTACAAATATACTGACAAGAATAGGGAACACTGAAGAGTGTGTGTGTGTATCGAAAGTTAACATGGCGGTGTTCTTCTTTATAGCAAAAATTGATTAAGGTACTTTAAACGTTATGTGAAAATGAAAAGAAGAGCAATTGATAAAAAGTAACAAAAAAATGTTAATAATTTTTTGTATATTTTTGTATATTTTTTGTTGTATAGTACTCTATTAGGAGAATACTTGAGCAAAGGGATAGGGCGCACCTCTCAGCCATTTTCGAGAAAACTCGATTTAAATTAAATCATATAGTGTAGCTTATATAGCCTTTCGTTAGTAATATTTTCAAGAACCGCTGCGTAGCGCAGGTGCTTAGGTGCCCGACTGCTACGCTGGAGACTAGGGTTCGATTCCCGCCGGCTTTTTTTTTTTTTTTTTTTTTTTTTTTTTTTTTTTTTTTTTTTTTTTTTTT